AAAAAAAAAAAAAAAAAAAAAAAAAAAAAAAAAAAAAAAAAAAAAAAACACCATGATCTAACAAACCACACACCGTTCTTCACAGATCTAACGGCCAAAAAACCAAACACGAACTCCCTCGTAACATATGAAAGTAAAAAATCCCCATTCCCGATGATATTTAGCAATTACAAAAGCAATCCAACAGTATTAATAACGAAAAACACGATCAAACATGAACATATCTCATTCAAATGAGCTTGAAATCGGGACATAGTGGTCTCACCGTCCATCTCAACGATGGGGTTGGCGACCTTGATCTTCTGAAAAGCCATGATTATTGACCACCCTCACTTCAAACGAAGTAATCACAGAGAAGATCGAATAAGGAGAGCGCAAAGAGAGGGAAAAATCGAAGCAAGAAAAAAAATGGAGAGATACAGTAGGTGGATGAAAGCCGCCGCCGCACCAGGCGCCTTTTTTATACTTGCGAAAGAGAACTTTTTTTCTGAAACTCTTCTTTTTTCTTTCTTGTATTGCCCTTTAGTCCGCCCTCTATTTACTCATTTGCCATTGAAAAGGTTGTGCAAAGTCAAAGTCAAACCCATTTGATTTTGGAGTTGGGATCCTTGTAGCATGTTTGGTTTTTACTCCGTGCTACCTAGAAAAAATGTCATGAGTTTACTACTTCTCTCTTATATACACATTTCAAAACGTGAAGTTGTTAGCGATACGTAATGGGTCAAAGCGAACAATATTTGGTGGGTTTGAGCTGTTATAGATAGTATCAGAGTCAGACACCGGACAGCCAACAAAGACGTTAGGCCCTCAAGGGCGGTAGATTGTGAGATCACACATCGGTTAAAGAGAAAAACGAAACATTTCTTATAAAAATGTGAAAATCTCTCCTTAGTAGACGCGTTTTAAAAATCGTGAGACTGACGGTAATATGTAACAAACTAAAGTTGACAATATCTGCTAGCGGTTATCTTGGGTGGTTACAAAGTTCTGTTCTTACTCAATGTTTCCTATAAAAAAAATCTCGAAGTTCAGCCGACATTAAACGCTTCAAACCAAGTCTAATTAAGCCATTAAAAAGGAAATCGATATTGTTGATATAGGTAATTACTATCAATTATTTTTATGTTTTTCTTAACCGTAATTTCATACCTCAAAATTACTCCCATCCATATATGGTATCCGTTCATTCACGTACATTAATTTTCTATTTTATCCCAACCACTAAATTCTATCTCTTAATTTTTCAAATAAATTAATTAGAAAAATCCAACGTTTTTCTTTTTAAAAAATTGTAATTTGCTATTTCTCTTCGTACTGTTAGAAAGCATTATTTTTTAATTAAAATTTTTAAAATATGTAATTGTAATCTCTTGACCATAGTTTCTACCAATTTCATGAATTTTATAATAATATAGTTTTTTATTTATCATAAATTAAAAAAATGAGACTTTTAAAATTTTGAAAACTTATTAAATATAAAATTTGCATTTAATTTAGGTTTAAATTTTAAAAACTCATCCAATACTTTTTAAAATTAAAAGATCTATTAAAAACTATAATTTTCTTTCCGAGACTCTACTATGATATAATAGTTCAAGTCCATTATTAGCAGATATTGTTTGATTTTTGTTCGCTTTAGTTTGTTACTTATCGTTGTCAGTCTCACGATTTTAAAACGTATAAATCGCTAGCACATCACCTAGTGTCCGGCTCTGATACCATTTATAATAGTCAAAACCTACAGCTAGTAGATATTATCCGCTTTGGTCCATTACGCATTGCTGTCAACTTCACAAATTTTAAAATGTGTCTACTAGAAGAAGATTTTTACGCTCTTATAAAAAATGTTTCGTTCTCCTCTTCAATCAATGTGGGATCACATAATTGAATTACTCGTTAAACATAAATTCAATCCTTGATCCAACGATGTGATTGGATATATTCATAAATTATTGAAAATCCCATAACCTAATTAATAATTATGTTATAATATGGATAAAAGTGATTTCGATTATTAAATAATTTTTATAATTTAAAAAAACAATAAAATAATAAAAAAATAAATAGGTCCAAAATGACGACATGATCAACCATCGTGATTTTCATACTCTAAAGAGAAAGGTCTTCCCTTTCTAGTTTTTTTTCGTACTATTGAATGATACAACGTATCCTCCTCTTATAGGCTCGGTTCTCGAATAAAGTACATCGTTGAGTCTTCCTTGGAGCACGTGAATTTGATACTATAATGGAATAACGTAACTTCCAAAATGGTATGATATTATCTAGTTTGAGTATAAGCTCTAGTAGTTTTTTCCTTTTTAATTAGTCAATTTGGAAACTCTAAAATCCGCAATATTATTATCTAGAATCGAATGTTTACGAGAATAACGATAATATCAACTATTTTTTTCTCGTTTTTTTGCTATTATAAGAGCAAAAATGGCTCATCGCATTACGTAGGGGCAGAGAGAATCTCATCGTTGTCTCGATCGTGCCCGAAAAAGGCTCTTGAAAATGGAGTTTTGCCATCTCTTTAATCTCAAAACATAATTGCTACACTTAAATTCCGAAATTGACCCTATTAAAAATGGATATTACAAAAAAAAAAAAAAAAAAAAAATGGTAGGAAAGCAAATGGCAATTTTGGTTATTAGCCGCCAGAAGGGTAAAACGGTCATAAAAGTTGGTAAAAGTCAAAATCAGTGGCCAACTGTCAGAAAAATAAAATCTAAACTCAAAAGAGCTTTATTTGTTTATAAAATATTGGATGGAATGTGACAATGACATCTAAATCCACAATTTAATTTCATCACATAATTTTTTATTTTTGGAATATTTTTTTTATATAAAAAAATTGTTAATTATGGATAACCCAATATATTGGAAACTTTGTATTTATTTAATTCAAAAAAGACATGAATTTACTATTTTACTTTTTTTTTCAAAAATTAAAAGATATAATTTTTAATAATAATAATAATAAATATTTTTTTAAGAGGGAAATTGTTATATGAAATCAAATATATTTTAAAATATGGGTAGTGAGTTGTGGTGTGGAATTTAGTGAAAATGGGAAAATGGGTGATGTTTGTTGAAATTAAAGGATCAAATGGGTTTGTTGGGTTGGATCATGAGCTCCAACCAAACACTATTTTTTTTTTTTTTAATTTTAAAAATTCAACGTCTCTCAACAAATATATAGTTGAAAATTTATTTATTTGAAGAAAAGGTGACCAGAAAAAAGTGATATTTGTCGTGTGAATGCTCATTTGGATCCAATGTACAAAGTCTAGGGTAGTGGATAGCTGACTCCATGTCCTACTATAACATATTTTGAGGCAATTCAGATCTAGCATGTGTTGACATGATTTTGGTAGACGAATATTCGGTGGTATTATGAAGTATCAGTATGTCCAATTGACACCAAATTTGAAAAGCTTTTATATTTAATATCGACAAACTTCAAGAACTTCTTGTTCAAGTTCTTTTTAGAACCTTGACTTTTAATGCTTGAGCCCTACCCAGCCCTTCAACTAGCTTATCTCTTACACTCATGTCTAGCCTCTATCTTGTTTATGTCTCTTCTTAGTACATATTATATGGTCAATCGTATCATGACACTCGTCTATCTTGGCTCTCAAGTAGCCGGATGGGCACCATTTGAGAGTTATCACTTTACCTGTATGAGATTTACAACTTATTCTCTTCGTCTCCATAGATTGTGACACAATACACTCCAAAAATAACCGTTTAAAAATCTATTTTAATAAATTTTATTATAATATTTATCATTTATTTTAATATAAATTAATTATTAAAAAAATTATATGATTTAAATTGTAATTTATTTTACTTAATAAAAAAATTAGGAAATACAATTGTCAGATAAAAAACACAAAAAAGGTATATGGATTGGAATTTTAAATTTTTAGTTTAAAAGAATATGGGATATGATTCAATAAATACATATAATTGGAGGATTTATAGAAATAAAATTAAAAGTTTAAAGATAGTGGGCTGAGTTTTAAAAGTTATTGGGCCGGCCCAAATGACTAGTCATCGTCCAATCCGAACATATACTAATTTTGAAATTGAAAAATGTTTCTCATTTTACCTCCATTTTTTTACTAATTTTTTTTTAAAAAACTCAAAACAATTCCAAATTTTCTTAGGTTAAGTTGATACGAGTTATTTTACTAATTTATTTAAATTTATGTTTTTTATAAATATAAAAAAGGTTAGTTCGTAAAATATTTATTTATTTATTTTCAAACATTTATTAAAATTTATAACTCAATTTCAATATATATTCTAAAAAAATTTAAAATTTACAAAATAAATAAATAAATAAATATATATATATAATTATGAAATAACTATATCTTTAATTTAACCCAAATCTAATATTAAACCAACTTATTTCACAAAAATTTTATTTATTTAAATCTAATGTGCTATTCAAATTCGCATTAATTTTCATTTTAATACTCTTCCAATAAATTACATTTATTTTATTTATTTGATATGTTATTTGTGTTATTTATTAGAGTCATATACATATACAATATTTATGTAACATAAATTGGGGAGATTTTTCAATATTTGTTAATATATCATATTCAATAGTCTATATTTCTCTTTAAAACAGAATATATTATTTCTTTAAAAAAACTAATTACATTTATTATCTTAAGAGGTAAATTTAAAGGAATAAATGAAACACAAACAAATAAACGTTAGGGTTTAAAACATGAAATAAATAAATATAAAAATAACTATTTTTAAAAATAAAATTTTTAAAATTCAATATGTTTTTAATAATTTGAAAAACTTAAAAAAATGAAAAAAAAAAAACATGGCTATCAAACCACGAATTAACTTATGAGTTTTAATTTTTTACTTTTTTTTTTCTTAAACGAAATATTGAGAAAGATAAAAAAAAAAAAAAAATACCCACAAAAATTAAAAATTAAATAGTTATTAAATAAGTAATAATACGATACAAATAGTTATAAAAATAAATAGCTTATAAAATCCAGCACCTCATAATTAAATTAATTAAAAAAAAAAAAAAAAAAAAAAAACCGCCGCTCTAATATCCGCCTTTTGATCCGCGCAACGGTCGTTATTGGTATTTTTGTGGTGGAAATTTTATTTTCGTTTTTTATTTAAAAAATAATAAAGCTTGTCTGGAAGAATGTCACGTGGAAAAGTAGACAAGGGAATGTCACGTGGCCAAAAAGCGCAGTTTAGATAATTTCGAGACACTAAAATCCATCCGACATGTCTTTTTATTTTTTATTTTTTTTTAAAATTATTTTAAATTGCAAAATTAAATATTCGGTCGCCTCATCAATAACTCCGCCTTTCTGTCCGAATATTACAGGCCTTTGATTGAGATATTTAATATATATATATATATATCTTTATATTTTTTATTTTTTATATTATAAGAAACTGATGAAATTCTAATAAATATATAAAATAATTCGATTGTGGCGATTTTGATTGGTTGAATTTAATCTAGGTAATTCTTTGATATAATTGGAATAAAAAAAATATATGGACGAAAGGTCAATTTTTCATCTAAAATTAAAAAAAAAAATTATATATATAATATTATGACTAATTTTATATATAAATAATAATAATAAACCCTGCCACGTGTAATTTAGGTAAAGTTCGGACGTGAGCCACAAGTTTTTTTTATTTTTTTATTTTTTTTTATTTTAATTCCACCTTTCGCTTTAGTCTATATTTAATTTTTAAAATTTATTATTAAAAATCTTTTCGTCCCTACTCGAACCTCTCTATGGATAAACTACGTCTATAATAATTAATTATTGCTCGTTCTAAAAGACGTTATTCTTAACTAATTTGTGATTATGGCCTAATGAATTAAAAATATATTATTTAAATGTGTAGTTTATTTTTTAATATTTAGAAATAAAAAATAAAAAGCGGGTATATGGTAGCTCCTTTTTTTCTCTACATCGGAAGCCAGTGGCGTTGTTCCCGACTTACGTCATCATTTCTCTTCCTTCTTCTTCTTCTTCTTACATTTTTTTTCGACTCCTTCATTTCTCTTAATTTCATCTCCATTTTCTCTCTTCATCTTCTTCACGCCATCGCCTTCTCGTTCAAGAAGCTGAAGCTCCTCCTCCTTCCGTTCGAGTTTCGGTTCTGAATTTGCACGGAATCGACTGGTTTTTGTCGAAAATTGGAGTTCAATCTCGATTTCTTAAGTTTTTTCCAGTGTCTCTGTGTGTGTGTTTGTGTGTGTGTGTGTGTGTTTTTTTTTTTTTTTTTTTTTTTTTTTTTTTTTTTTTTTTTTTTTTTCTGTTTATTGTTTTCGGTTTTTTTAGTTTCTTTNTTGTGTTCATTTGTAGTGGGTTGTATGTTCTCTGTGTGGCCAGGAGTTGTTTGATGTTCAGAATGAAGTTTGTTGTTTGTAATTTTGTTCTTTTGATTTTCCTCGTGATCGAGTGATTAGTTGTTCTTTCTTTAGCTCTTGTACGGACGAAATCGTGCTTTGTTTTCCTGAAAGTCTACTGGCGCGAATCTGATTCTTTGTGATTTTTGAGGTTGAAGCCCTAGGAACTGTGATTCAGAGCCCGATCACTTAATTCTAGGGTTTTGAAGAATTTTATCTCGATAATGAGTTGAATTAGGACTGTTAACGCGCGTTGGAGTTGGACTAAGTCAGTTTAATGATATCAAGCTGTTGAATTCAAACCGTCGAAAATACGACTGTTTAGGGATTGGTTATTCGGATTGTTGAAAATTCGTGAGGATTTATTGGTTACTGTAAATTGAACGGCAATCAACTAAGTGGAAACGAAAAGAAAATGACACACAGGTGTTTGGCTCCGTAAAAGCAGAGGAAGATTTTACGGCTAGAATATCCATGGGTGCCGCAAACATGCAATCACAAGTATGAATATTCCATTCTTTTCCTCATCCTCTTCTCTCACCCTTCTTTTTGTAGCTTGAAAACGTTGAGATCGTGTTATTTATTGGTATGTGAACAAAGAATTAATAGGGAAAACGTGTTTTATTCTTCTTTTTTTCCTTATGCCCATGTGATGTATTAGATGATTTTTGGTCAGTAATGAAATTTGAACCAACAGAAATGTACAATCATGCCAAAATCGGCCTCCTAAAATTACTCTTCATAAGTTTTCCAAATATGTCTGCGAAATGTTAGGCATTGTTGGTTTGCTGATTGGTTCGATTTACTATGACAGATGCTATTCAGACATATTCCGACCGTGCACAATTTTTGCTAGTTTTCAGTGATTCTGTTTGCATCTTTTTCTCCTTTTAGTTTTTTCATTTACGAGTTCGTACTTGCCACGAAACTGGGTAGATATTTTCTTCATGGTTCAATTAGTATATACATGGCATCAGGGGAGAGTGAAGAAAACATAAAATTCTACTCACTCCTCACCATTTTTTCATTTCTTATCGTCTGTATTGCTTCTTATAATCCATTCCTTGAATTTGGAATTTGGAATCTGGAATCATGCTACATGATCATCATATGCACCTTTTCTTAGACTAGAGAATTTAATGTGGTATGAATCCATTCTGGCTTGAGCTCTAGTAGTTTATTTTCAATATCGGAGCTCTTTTACTTTGTTTAGGAAAAGAATCAATATCTTAACCAGAATCTTTTGTGTAAACCTTATGAACCTGTCTTCTGATTGTTCATTGCTGTAGAATGCTGGTGGAGGTCTCTGTTCTGACAACACTAGTTCATCTCTTTATGAATCAACTGCGACTGCTGATCAATTGAAGGACCCCTTTTCAAGCGGGAAAGAATATTGTCCCAAGGTTTTGCTTTCGCTGCCTATTTTCTCTGTTTCAAAATTTTGGTATGTTTCTTTTTTAAGCTTTTTTATTCACTTTTCTCTATGTTTCTCACTGGTTAGGCAAGGAAGCCCTACACAATCACAAAGCAAAGAGAAAGATGGAAAGAGGAAGAACATGAAAAGTTTATTGAAGCTCTGACACTGTATGGTCGTGATTGGCGACAAATAGAAGGTATAGTTGAATAGAAAGAGCATAATATGCTCATAAACAAACAGAGGATATAGCCATCTTTATTGCATTTTTTTTCTCATTCTCTTAATTGATTTTGCCTAACAGAGCATGTGGGCACGAAGACTGCAGTTCAGATTCGTAGCCATGCCCAGAAGTTCTTCTCCAAGGTCTAATGCTCTTATTCCAGTTCCCATTATCTACCATAATGTACATATTCCGGTTTATGAATGTAAGTAATTGTCAAGAATCACAAGGCGTGCAAACAATCCTTGAAGGATCAATGCTTGTCCTTTATGATCTTCCAACTTCTCATTGTTTTTATTGTTGCCTTAGGTCATGCATAATTCAAACGGGTGTACCGCAACTCTCGGAGGATGCATCGAGATTCCTCCTCCTCGTCCAAAACGAAAACCAGCGCATCCGTATCCCCGTAAAGAAGTACCTGGTTCGCATAAGTTGTCCTCCATTTCAGAACAGACAAGGTCTTTGTCCCCACAGCTTTCAGAAAAGGAATGTCAATCTCCAACGTCAACTGTCGTAGCAGCAGGTGGTTCGTATGCGCTAAATTGTGCCAATTCAAGAATTCATCATGAGAGAGCATCTCCAGATTCATCTATTCCATCCTCAGAACCAAACTCATCTTCATTGGACAATGAATCTCCAACAGTAAGCCCTGGGAAAGACAATTCAACCCCCCAGGAGAAAATTTCAAAGGTGCTGCCTCTTTTTGTTCCTTTTTGATAGCCATCTTTCTCATTGATTGATGCAACTAAAAGCTCTGTTATTTTGGATGACAGAACCTGGAGTTATTTCCGAAGGATGTGAATGAAAAAGATGTCTCTACAAAAGAAGTGTCAATCCAGAGTCTTAAGCTCTTTGGTAGAACTGTATTAATAACAAATCCCCACAAACAAACTCCAACGGTAGAGACCTGTGCGTTTGAGGCTGACGGTAAACAGGGCGAAAACCACAAGCAAATATCGCCATGGAACTCCTCCAAGGTTATGAGAAATACAGAGGGCACCTGGAATCATGGAGCTTTCTATTTCATACAACTCAATAGCAGTGACTCAAATCAAGACCCTGGTTCTACAGTCCCGGTATCGTGGTGGAGTTCTTATGGCAGCTACCCACTCTCATTTGTACAATGTTTCAAACAAGCAGATTCAGAGTTGAATCCAGAAGTTGATGATAAGGAAACTCACAAGGATCAATCATGCTGCGGGTCGAACACCGGATCAGTAAACAGCGAGGAAAATGGTGATAAATATGGAGAAAATGATATCCAATGCTACAAACTATTTCCCAATAGAGATGGAGATTCAGTTTCTAAAGATGAGTTGATTGGAAAAGCATTGTCTTCTGAGCTAATAATAAGCAGCCATGAAAAGAACACCAAAGGGTTTGTGCCTTACAAAAGATGCATGACAGAGAGAGCTACGAAGTCCCACTCAATCACAGATGCAGAGAGGGAGGAGAAAAGGATACGGCTTTGCTTATAGATTCAAATTGAATTTTGTACAGACATGGCATAATGGAGCGAAAGAGGCTTGGTGGTACAATCTCAGGTTCATAAACAAATGTACAAATCTGTAAACCACCACTTTCTCAGCATTGTCTTGTTAGGATGAATGTCCTTTACATAAATTGTCTTCCTTTGTTCATTACTAATTATGCCCCTTCTTGTTTACCTAAATAAAACGGTAAATTCTCACTTCCTTGGGTAAAAACCTCCAAGAGGTAATATGATTGGAAAATGCTGAGTAAGCTCTACTGGTTTGAAGAGTAGGATTGATCTGTAATGTCATATCATAGTAGAAGAACAAGGGAGAGTCGATAAATGGGAAGTGAGGGAGTTACTTGTTTGGTCTTGCTGCGTACCTACTTATAATGTAACAGCTCAAGCCCACCGCTAACAGATATTGTCTGCCAGTGGTGGATTTAGTCTGTTACAAATGGTATTAGAGTCGATGATTGTGACACTTTTACTCTTTATAATTGTTCTCATTACTCCATTTTTGTAACGTTCATACATCCATTTATTCACCATGGTACACGAAAAGTGTACGATATTACTAGTACCATTTAGAGTTCGTCGTCAGTCATTTTGTTTCCTCTGCCACCATAGTCAAATCTCCGACTCTTCTCTTGTTAATTGCTGCATAAAATGTGCCCACCACAACATCAAACAAATAATAACGGCGAAATCATGTCTAGGTCTGTTAGTCCAAAATTGCTTCAAAATGTATTATAAGTAGGACCAAGGAGTCATCAAATCTTCTCCCATCAAATATTGTAATTGTTTTTCCTACATGTTTTCAATGCAATTGACTTCAAATTGGTTTTCAATTATTTTACTCACTCACATTTTATAAAATATGTTCTCTCAAATTGTGGCTCAAGACTCGACCATATGTCTAAACTGTCCACGAAATAAGACTTTTACAGCTAACTTATTCGTTAGGTTTTCATCTCGTCATTTTCTATTTTGTTTTTGTTTTGCAAAATCACCCAAATCTCATTTATTTTTGGAATTAATTTAATGATTTCTATCATTAATTCACAAAAGAAAAGAAAAAGCAAGTCTTTAAAATCTTATATTCCCACCCCCCCTCGATTCCATAACCGACATGTCGGGATAATAACCATTTGGAGTCACAACCCCATAAAATATAAATATAAATATATATATATTCTATACGGAACCAACAAAACTATTCACTTCAATTAATTCTTTATATATATTTTTTTTACTTTATAATATTTTATAAATTAACGCCAATTTCTAAAATAGAAATTCCATTTTTATTTTCTTCCCCACTTTGCCCCTGCCCCCCCCCCCCCCCC